CGCCATCCCCTCTCCTCTCTCCTTTGTCTGGCCTTGATTGATAGGTTCTGGGCACGCCGGACGCCGGAGACGGGTCCTGCTCCGGAGAAGTGGGTGCGGGCGAGGCGCACCTGTTCCCTCAGCTCCACCTAGGGCGGCGGCCGGTGTCCGTGCCCGGCGTGGGTGCGAGAGCGCTTAGAGGAGCGGGCAGCTCCGCCTTGCTCCAAGCACTTTCGTTCACTCGTTCGTTCGTTCGTTCATTCATTCATTCATTCATGCGTTCATTCATTCCTTCATTCGTTCGTTCGTTCACTCATTCAGTTTAAAAGCAGATATACTGTGGTTTGGCTTCTTCCAGCTGGCGGCCACTCCCTTGTCCTGCAGCTGTTTCAGTGCCTCTTCCTCTCCGAGGAAACCTGAGACTTTCACTTCAGTTATAAACCCAAACTGACCTAACAGGTTAGGAATGCCTGGGACTGACTGAGATTAATTCAAGAGCCCCCCGCACCCCACCCTTTCTCATTCCCAACGCGGGAAGCCTGACACTGATATTCCAAAACAGAAGGGCAGGGTGACAGCTGATGGCAAGTGAGCCGCAGGCAGGAGCCCCCGTCCCAGCCTCAGAGACCAAGGGAATGTCCCCAAGATAGAAGCTTCTTGGACAGCGAGCCACCAGGCCATGAACTATATGGTGTTTTGAAGGGCAGCCCTTGAAGCACAATGTGTTAGACCTGGATGAGAAGGACTTTTTGTGTTTTTTTCTTTAATTTCTTTTTTAAAAATGTATTTTTACTGATTTCAGAGAGAGGAAGGGAGAGGAAGAGAGAAAAACATCAATGATGAGAGTCATTGATCGGCTGCCTTCTGCACGCCCCCGACTGGGGACCGAGGGCCAACAGGGGCATGTGCCCTGACCGGGAATCAAACAGCCATCTCCTGGGTCCTAGTGACGCTCAACCACTGAGCAACACTGCCAGGGCTGGACGAGAAGTTGAAGTTGATTTAATTCAACATATTTTTTTTTCCAATTCAAGAATCCCCCAAGAACATTCCTAGTGAACAGGCTTCACCTTCTCAGTGATGACAGCTTTCTGCTTCATAAGTCAGTACCTTTTATTGTTTCGGAAGTTCTTTATATTCAGTTAAATTCTGCACACTCCTCCCTTCACAAACTCCATTAAGTGTCCTCAATCTATTTTCCTTAATTGAGCTTTGCTTCCCCGCACCCCACCCCAGACTTTTTGTTTGGGGCTGAGCTTTGTAAGTTTCCTCCCACGTACTTCCTAGTGGTAGCCAACCCTTAACCACCCTGATCGTTTTCTTAGCAGAATTTTTAGTTTGTCAGCATAATTCTCAAAGGGGGATCCGGAACAGGAACTGACTGTTCTCTATGTGGTGTGACCAGCATAAATCCAAGGGAATTATGGCCACATTTGCTTTAGAGGGTATGTCTGCTCAAATATGTTTACAGCCATCTCTCACTCATAATAAGATTATGGTCAATTAAAATCCTTAGGTATTTTCCACTCAAACTGTTACTGAGTCATTTTGTATTTACACAGGGAATTCTGGAAAAATTAATATGAAACTCTGTACTTATTGCTGTTAAAATTTATTAGTGTCAACCAATTATCACATGCTGTTAATACTTTTATTGAATCTAAATTAAATCTAACATATCTCTCTTCTTTAGCTTTGATTCATCTCTAGGTTTGANGGCCTCCCCGCCGCGTCCCCACACCTCCCCAGCGCGGAACCGCCCCCCGCAACTCACACCCTCCAAGCAGCCCCTCCGAGCGACCCCACTCCTGCTCCCCCACGGACGTTTGCCGGCAGCTCCGGGAAGGGGAGGGCCAACCTCTCCTCAGGCAGTGATGTCATCTGCAGTGCACGTGGCTCCCCGCCGCTGTCCCCCACCCCACGCCATCCCCTCTCCTCTCTCCTTTGTCTGGCCTTGATTGATAGGTTCTGGGCACGCCGGACGCCGGAGACGGGTCCTGCTCCGGAGAAGTGGGTGCGGGCGAGGCGCACCTGTTCCCTCAGCTCCACCTAGGGCGGCGGCCGGTGTCCGTGCCCGGCGTGGGTGCGAGAGCGCTTAGAGGAGCGGGCAGCTCCGCCTTGCTCCAAGCACTTTCGTTCACTCGTTCGTTCGTTCGTTCATTCATTCATTCAT